TGAAACAAATTGCTCTCAAGCCAATGATTAAGAAATAAAAACAAAGATATAAAAACATAAAGGGAAATCTAGAAGGAAGCAGAGTTCCCTCTGAGCATCTCCACAATGCTTTAATCATAATAAATTGAATCAAATTCATTTTGGTTTATTTTTTACCCTAAAGGCATAACTCCAGATCTTCTCTACCAAATTTTTGTCACCTGAATAAATGATAAATTGTCTCTCATATTTTCACCCAAGACACTCCCAAAAATATCAAACAGGACACAGCAATGTTGATCCATTTCTTGACCCTTTTTGGGTAAGGGTGAATTGACCAGCTATGAATCCACTTAATTGTAGATTACATTTATTTACCTGATATAAGGAAACACCAGGTCCAGATATTTTTACTACTAAGTCCGACCAAAACATTAAAGAAAGAGTTAATTCCTATTTTATTCAAACTGTTCTAGAAAATTGGGAGGGGGGTGGAAGATGGAGGCACACTTCAGCTTATTTCATAAGGCTAGCACAATCTATCTAAAAACCCAAACCTTTTGAGGACAGCACATGAAAAGAAAATTATAGGAAAATCTCATTAATGAACAAAAGATGTCAAATTTCTGGAAAATTCTCAAACTGAATCTAGCTTTGAGTTTTATGTTTTATAAAGTGACTTGAGTTTTATTTATTCCATGAATGGAGGATGATTTAACAACAGAAAATCGATCACTATACCTCACCACATTAATAGATTAAAGGAGTGGGGAATCAAGAATGAGCATACAGGGACACGGGGAACTTAAAATGTTCTTCTTGGGTATTGGGTATGTATGTATTGGTTACTATTTGCTGTGTAACATGCAACTGCAAAATTTCAGTTATGTAAAATAAGCATTTGTTTTCATACATTTTAGGGTAAGCTGGGGGTTAGCTATTTTAGGCTGGGCTCAGTTGGGCAGCTCAGCTTTAAACTGCAAGTCTCTGGGTCAGCCAAGTGACCACAGCCTAAATGTCTTTCATTATTCTTGGATTAGTTGGCTAGCTGTTGCAAGTTTATCTCATGGAAATGTGGAATATTATGATAATTTACTCAACAGGACAAACACACTTCAAGTTCCTGTTGCATAGTTTCTGCCATCATCCCATTTGGCCAAAGCAATTTGCATGGCTGAGTTTACAGTCAAGGAATGGGGAAGTATACTCTGCCTTTTATGGCGTGGATACAGAGAGGAACATAGAATTGGGCCAATGACTCAATTATATAACAGGGCCTGTATCAGTGCATTCTTGCATTGCTATGAAGAAACACCTGAGACTGGGTAATTTATAAAGAGGTTTAATTGGTTCACAGTTCCACAGGTTGTATAGGAAGCATAGCTGGGGAGACCTCAGGAAACTTACAATCATGGCAGATGGTGAAGGGAAAGCAGGTAGGTCTTACATGGCTGGAGCAGGAGGAAGAGAGAAGGGGCGAGGAAGTGCCACACATTTTTTTTTTCTGAGACAGGGTCTCGCTCTGTTGCCCGGGCTGGAGTGCAGCAGCACAATCTCGCCTCACTGCAACCTCCGCCTCCTGGGTTCACGCGATTCTCATGCCTCAGCCTCCTGAGTAGCTAGGATTACAAGCGTGTGCCACCATGCCCAGCTAATTTTTGTATTTTTAGTGGAGACAAAGTTTCACCATGTTGGCCAGGCTGCTCTCGAACTCTTTGTTTCAATTGATCCACCTGCCTTGGCCTCCCAAAGTGCTGGGATTACAGGTGTGAGCCACTGCACCCAGCAAGTCACACACTTTTAAACAACCAGATCTAGTGAGAACTCTATCACAAGACAGCACTAGGGGGTGGTGCTAAACCATTAGAAACAACACCCATGATCCAATCCCACCAGGCCCCACCTCCACACTGGGGATTACAATTTGACATAAAATTTGGGCAGGGACAAGGGCCACAAGGCATGTGGGTATTTTATTTATAATGTATATGTATGACACATATACATTATATGTATGTAAAATGCGGTATTCACAAAACATTTCATAATAAAAATTAATGAAATTCACACATTAAGCACATTTTGGGGACCCTTTTTATTTACTAGTCTCATAATCCTATCAAAGAGGAAATGAAGTTGGCTTGGCAGGAGTTGTTCTTCATGATTGTCTCTTTCATCTTTTCTTTTTTCTATTCTTTAAACCTCTTCCAAAAAGGATTTAAAGAGGCTTACAAAGCACCAAGAAAAAGTAAGTTCATGATAAATAAAACAAAGCAAAAAGAAAATAAGGTTTCCAAAGCAGGACAGAGCAGGAACCACGTTAGCACTGGCCTGGATGTTCTTTGTTTCCCTCTTCTGATCCTCTTTCCACCCTTCTCTACTTGTTCTATGTTCCCTGAAGGGCTCCTGTGTCTCCTGGCTTCTCCTATAGCTACAGGGCTCACTGGGTTCTGATAACTGCTCTGTCCTCCTGCTGCTTCAGGCCTAGAGACAGGTAGCACTTCACGTGAACCATCCCTTGCTGGCTTCCTTCATCCTGCCATACCTTTGTAACGTACTCCTTCACTAAGCCCTTCTTACTTCACCCTTTGGAAGTTGCCATGTTTCCTGTCAGGGACCCTGACTGCAACTGCCCACAAATCATATGCCTTAATTCTATATGCCTGCAAGATGTGGGTCTAAGGTCTTAGAGTCATCATCAAGTGGGAGACAAAATCAGTGAAAGAATCCCATCTCTCAAGAGCAGCAGACATACTGTTGACACCAAAATGGGCAAGAAATTTTCTCTGTGGGTTCTCAAAGAGAGGACCATTGTGGTGTAATCCCATTCTTTTCTCTTACAAACCATCTCTAATCCACTCAGGTCTCAGTCCTCATATCTCTTGGTATCCACACTCACTGAGCTTATCCAGTCTCACAGCTTTAAATATACACATGCTGATGAATCCCAGTGGGTGCCTCCAGTCCTGACTTTCCGCTCAATTCATTTTCACTATCTAACTGCCTATTTTTTGGATATCCAATAGGCATCTCGAGTTCTTTCTATGTCCAAAACAAAACTTTCAATGTTTATTCTGTAATCCTCTCTTCCCAGTATGCCCTCATTTCAGTAGAGGGCTCCAGCATCATTTGCCTGGTTGCTCAGGGCATGTGTGTGTGTATGCGGGGGCGGGACGAGTGGGGTAGCAATGGAAGAAAACTGTCATCCTTTTTTTTTTTTTTTATAGTGACATGGTCTTGCTATGTTGCCCAGGCTGTTCTTGAACTCCCAGGTTCAAGCGATCCCCCTGTCTCGGCCTCCCAAAGTGCTGGGATTATAGGCGTGGGCCACCATGGCTGGCCCTGTCATCCTTGATACCTTTTTTTCTCACATTCCGCATCCAATCTGTCTCACGCCATGTTGGCTCAGATCTTCAAAATACATTCAGAATCTGACCAGTTCTCGTGACCTCCATCACTACCACTCCAGCTCAAACTACTACAATCTCTCATTCTACTATATTTATTCCTAGCTGTTTTCCCTTCTTCTATTCTTGCATCCTGGAAGGATCAAAGGATTATACCTCCATCAGCCAGTGTAATCCTTTAAAAATATGTCATATCATATTATCTCCTGCTCAAAATCCACTAACTGCTTCCCACCACACTTAGTCTTCACCATGGCCTACAGGGCCTTACATGCATGATCTTGTCCCTAGCATCTTTATTTTCTGTCATTCTTTCCCTCCCTCCTCCCCTCTCTCCCTCGTGCCCTCCCTCCCTCCCTCCCTCCCTCCCTCCCTCCCTCCCTTCCTGCCTCCTTCTCCCTCCTTCCAATCCAGTCATAACAGCCTCCCTGATGTTCTGTGAACAGGTCAAGCACGCTATTTGAGGCCTCTGGACATTTGCACTTGTTTCCTTTGACTGAAACACTCCTGTTCAGATATCTACATGCCTCACTCACTCATTTAAGTCTATGCTCAAATGACAAACCTTCAGGGAGGTCTTCTCTAATACCTCCACCATTGCCTACTTTGCTTCACTTTTCTTCACAGCACTTATCAGTACCTGGTATGACATGAAACATGTAGTTACACATTTGTTTATTGTCTGTCTTTCCATTTGGAGTGTAAGCTCTAAGAAAACAGGTTTTCTGGTTTGTTTTTTCCTTTCATCCCAGCATCCCCAGTGCCTGTGACTTGAAACAGAGCAGGCCCTAGGTAAACGTTTGTTAAAGGAATGGATGACTCCGTTCTGTCTAATTTCTCGATTCAACCTCAGCCAGATCCAACAAATATTTGAGTCTTAATTATGTGAGTGACACTTAGTTAGATACTTACAGCTTTAAGAACGTATAAAACAGCCCCTAACCTGAACTGTGTCCTTTTGGGAGGGTACTGATTGGGACAGGGCACAAGGAAACTCCCAGAGTACAGAAATGTTCTTTATCTCCATCTGGGTAGTAGTTACACAGGTGCATACATAAGAGCAAATCTACTGAGCCATACTCTCAAGATATGTGTATTTTATGTTGCATCCCAATGAAAGTTTTTGTTGTTGGCTTTTTAAGGTTCTGACGTATCTAGACACAAAACGAGACAATCTCCCAACGTGGCAAGAGCAATGATGGAGCTGCACAGCCTGCTTTGTGAGCAGTGAGAAAGTCACCCCCAGGTACTAAGATTGGCATACCCTTGATAAGAGAAAAAGGGTAGGATGTAGCGCTGGAAAGTCCTAGGGATCACGGGCGTCTCCCATGCCCTGGAACCATCTTCTCACTGTGGCGTTCTTTATTGGTGCCCAACAACAGAGATCCCGAATACAGGACGCCGGATCAGTGGGTGCTCAAGCCCTTAAGTGAGGTGGAGCAAGGCAGAGCGGCCCTTGGGAGAGGGGCAATGGGGCACCCCTGTGCTTTAGACTTGGCTTGAGGAGGTGACACTTTGCCTGTGAAGAGAGGACGGCTGAGGACACACGCCACCCGCTAGACTTCACAAACGAAGTGGACGCGGGTCACACCCCTGCGCACGCGCAGCAGGGGCTCCTGTCACGCAGGCGCACGGCGGCCCGGCGGGGGACGAGAGGAGGCAACGGCTGTGCGGCCTGCGGGCGCGCGCTCCCTTACCGGCCAACGGACGCGAGGCGCGCGCGATGGAACAACGGTTAGCTGAGTTTCGGGCCGCGCGGAAACGGGCGGGTCTGGCAGCCCAACCCAGCGCTGCCAGTCAGGGCGCACAAACCCCAGGAGAGAAGGCGGAAGCAGCAGCGACTCTAAAGGCAGCCTCGGGGTGGCTAAAGCGGTTCCTGGTATGGAAACCTAGGCCCGCGAGTGCCCGAGCCCAGCCCGGCCTAGTTCAGGTGAGAAGACGGAAACCTCGGCCCTAAGACGTGGCCTCGGAGCCACAGTCGAGGGGGCGGCCCTAGCTGCCGGGGGTGTGGCCCTAGCTGCCGGAGGCGGGGCTACTGGCGCTTCCCTCCTGCTCCAGGGCTGGACCGCTCATCTCCCGCCCCACGTGTCAGCACTGTTACCGGTTTTGATATTTTCTTTCCAGCCCGCGACCCATGCAGCTCCTGATTCGAGGCAGGAGGCGAGAGTCGAGGGTTCTGGAAGAAAGCACCTCTGCCCTGAATTTATTCACCCCGAATTGAGTTATCGTGACGCCCTGTGGCTTCGGGAAACCTTTCCACAACCAAGTTGAGCCACAGCCCTCTGCTAATGGAGGGTAAAAGGTCTAATTGGATACTGATCAAAAGTAGCAGTAATTAAAACTTCATTTGATTCGCACCTGGGGCACATGCAGCTAGTAGCCCACATAGCCTGTGACTTAGAAATGCATTTGAATACAGAATTTACCAAAGTGTGGTAACTGAAACTGCGGTAGTGGCAGAAGCTTATTCAAGTTCCACAGTCAATGTTCAAGACAAAAACAAAGTGATTTAGTATGAAAACCTTTTCACATTTAATTCTTTTGATAATCTCTTATTTTGCAGATGAATTTAATTTGCATCCTTTTGTGTTTTCATTTAGTTTTAACTCATCAGTAAAATGCTAAGGTGGCTTGCGGTGAGATTGAAATGTCTGTGTGGAAATACAGGACAAAACGTATCAAGGGATAAGTGCTTTGTAATAATTTGTGCCAAGGGCTTTGTTCCTCCTAAGTGTAATAAGAACTAAAAAATTCCCTTTAAAATGAAAATGTAGTGGAAGAAAAGTGTACCTTTCTCGCCTTAAAATTGTCTCCGTTAAGTTCATCTATTATTGCACAACATTTGATTTGAGGGAATTTTTAAAAATTAGTGAACCTATTAATTTTGATTTGATATTCTCAGTGATATACAGGATTCCAGGTGACTTGCAGAAAGGTGAAAAGAGCGCAGCAGAGTTCAAACAATCCTTGTGTGCAGTTTGTGTTAATTGTCTTTGGATAATTTTGTTGTTGACTAGAACTTTCTAAGTACAACACTTGCTTAAGATTTTAGAAACCATTTCCCTTATTCTTTTTCTCTCTGCAGTTAAAAACAATGTCTAACCCACGCAATGAGCTTTTGACTGTATGTCTCATTTCCAAAGGAATGAGATCATTGAGTTGGACCCAGAGAAACTGAACTCAGAGAAAAACTTCCATTATTGAGAACCCTGATGGCCAAAGGATGAGAGGAAATGCTGGACCTCCAGTTTCTTGTTAATTGCTCTGTTTTTCATAAGAGACTCTGCCTTAAGCTCGTTTTCATTGACTGTTACCATTTCTGGGTTTGCTCTGGTGTGAAAATTCTCATTTAATTTTTTTTCTTCAGATTCTGCCTCTAGTTTAGAAAAGAAAATTTCTAATTTACAATTCATGTCAGATAATTTTGATGGCACACTGTGGCCTGTCAGAGATTTTAGCATTCTATTTTTTAAAAATTATTTTTAATTTTTGTGTTTTAATTGAAACAGCTTTATTGAAATAAGATTTACATACTACAGAATTTATCTCTTTTAACATACAATTCAAAGATTTTTAGTAAATTTACTGAGTCATGCAACCATCACTACAATCCAACTTTAGAACGCCTCCATCACTCCAAGGAGACCCCTCATGCACGTTAGCGGTTACTACCCGTTTCCAACCCCAGCCCTGCACAAACGTCAATCTACTTTCTATCTCTATACATTTGTCTTTTCCGGATGTTTCATGTAAATGGAATTATACAGTATGGTAAACACATTTTTCATCTATTAATTTTTATATTCAACTAGGTTCAACATGTAGCCATAGCCAAATATTTTAAATTTTCCTTCTGGGAGTTTAAGAATGTTTATCTTTTTTGATACTTACTTCTCCTTCAGCTTTCTCTTTTTCATACTGAAACAATCTTTTAAATGATTACATTCATTGATTAACTCCTCATTTTTCCCTTGTAGCAGAAGACCTTCCTTTTCACTCTCAAGGCAGCATCCTTGGATATTAATTACCTTTTGTAAGGTACCCCTTTCTTATGAGCACCATCTAGTTGTTGAGGCAGCAGATTTTCACGTTGTAGTTGAGATATTCTCTCCTCTACGTAGTCCCACTTTCCAAAGGATTTACTTGGCTTAGAGGTCTTTTTGTACACTTTATAAAACCAAAACCTTTTCTCTGAGAGAATTTCTTGTGTCATGGAGTTTACTTTTTAGGGTATTGAATTTAATTTGAGCTTCGGAAAGTTGCTCAGTTAAAAACTCATTATTATCTTTTAGTTCAGAAATATCAGAACTCATTTTCTTTCTTGTAAAGAAACGCCTTGTGCTCTCTCTAAAGTTCTAGGTCTCTTTTTGTTTTCACACTTTGATCACGCTCACTTACAGCAGCAGCCAGTCTAGCATGGAATGACTCAACTTCAGCTTCTAGTCTTTCCTTGTTTTGTTTCTCCTTCTCCAGTTGAGACTTGAGCATTTTGTTCTCAGTTTTGAGGTCGTTAAGCTGTTGACTATACTGGGATACTGTTTTTGTTAACATTTTTCCATTGAGTTTTATAGTCTCTTGAAGGTCACCATTCATTTCTTTAATAATTTCAATGTCCTTCAATATTTCTTTTCCTTTTTGAGGTTCTTATTTTTTATTGTGTATACTTACATACACAATAAAGGCAGTATCTCTCTTCAACAAGCAATTTTCATGCATCAGGTCTTTCTTTTTTCTATGACTGCAAGAATCTTGACTTAAAGTATTTCTTCAAGCCTTCAATTCCATTTCTAGTGATCCGATGGTCAGTTCAAGCTGTTCTTTTACTTCAACTTCTTTCCTATGTTGCTCCACTTTCCTTTCTAACTCTTCCCTAATGTTTTCATACAACATATTAGCATTTCTTCTCATCTTCTTCTTTTAAGGTGCATTCAAACTGTAGAGTTCTTGTTTCCATTCCACTTTTTAATATTGAACTGTGACTTCATTTCTTGTGTTTTGGATAGCTCCTTCTTCAGTACACTAAACTCAGTTTTCATATTTTTATTGTCTAGTGTAAGTTGTTCACAGATAATTTTTTTAAGGTCCAGTGACTTTTCACATGAAATAAATGCATTGTGGATTTCCATTAGGATATGAGAATCATTACAATCCATTCCATATTGCTTAATGAGCATCATAAACTTCTTATAATGAGGGTAAGATTCCTCATGATCCTCTGAAGCTGTTTCAGATAGCCGAGTTAAGTCATCAGGTTCATCTCTAAATGAGTTTGCTTTTTGACCTTTTTCTCTTCATTTGACATTTTCTTTGCAGGCCTAGCATACTCTTCATTCTTCTTCCTAGGAAATCGCTGATGGTAAGGTTTTCCACTCTTCCTTTGTTGAATTAATTTATCATCGTCATCAGCAGATGTACTATCCTACAGGTTTTTTTGATACTGTTTTTTTGTTGTTGTTGTTTTTTGTTTTTTGTTTTTACTTTTGTACTTCTTTCTAGCTTCTTCAACCTGTGGCTATTTATTTTCACTTTCAAGCTTTTCTTGTTCTTCCTCTGAGGTCACTTGTACTTCTTGTTCTGCTTTCAGTGTTTGTTCATTCTTCCTTTCTATTGCTTTCTTCACAACAGAATCTTTCATTTCCATGGTAGGCTTTAGGGAAAGATGTTTTCAGGAGGCCCTTCTCCCTTTTCATTTACTATGTATTTTTTTCCTTTTTTATGTGAAGGTCCAAGTAAAGACCTTGAAACACTCTCAGGGATACTCTGCTTGGTAGTAAAAGTCAAGTCTTCATCATCTGGTTTAGGGCATGAATCAACACACAGTTTTTTGAAAATACTGAATGCAGATGCTTCAGAACTCCCAGAATCTTTTGCACTTGCTCCTCCTTTTTTCAAACTTGCATTCTTCTTGGATGCTTCTTCTGGGTGGTTGTTTTGAAGACCGTTTTCAAGTATCTTTTTTTTTAATGTTGCAAAATTTGTTGTGTTTGTCAGACCATCAGAAATAGCATGATCTTCTGCAGTCTGTTAATACATACTCTTGAGTATGCATATACTTTGTTGAAGAAGAATGCTAACTATACCTGACAAGCCATAATGTACAACAGCCATGAGGGCTGTTCTTTTCAACCTATCAACAGCATGTACATTTGCTTGTTTCTTCACTAAAATTCCACCTTTTGCTGTGTTTTGCAAACGATAAAGTGGTGTGTTTCCATGTTTGTTCAGCACTTCAGTATTCACATGGTGTGAAGGCAGTTTTTCTGCCAGTAGTGTGTTCTCATTATAGATAGCATAGTGTAGTGCGTTGTTGCTGTAGACATCCATAAGATCTGGATTGGTGCCACGTTCTAGCAGAGTGATGACACAAATCTCTTCCTGGCAATGTACAGCCTTCATCAAAGGCATCCTGTTTCGTTTGCCACCAATGTCAGTCTGGCATTTTCAGTTCACCTGGAGAGTGACTGCTTCCACATGGCCATTGGCATAAGCCAAATGTAAAACAGTCCTGTTCATTCACAGATGAAGGAATACAGAAACTCTAGGATATATGCACAGTGGAATACTCTTCAGCCATCAAACTTTAGGACATCACCCCACTTCCAGCAACGTGGAGAAAGACCTGTTCATCCACAGATGAAGGGATACAGAAACTGTAGTATTCATTCACAATGGAATACCCTTCAGCCATGCACATATACTGAAATCATATCACCTGGAGCCACACAGTTGAACCTGTTATTCCCTTGATGAAGGGATGACAAAACTGAAATATATATCCAGAATGGAATATCCTTTCACCACAGAAATGGATGAAATCCATTTGCAATCATGTGGAGAAACCTGTTCATCCACAGATGAAGGGATAAAGAAACTGTAGTATATATACACAAATGGAATACTCTTCATCCAGAAAAATATAATGAAATTACATCATTTGCAGCCACACTGTTGAACCTAGAGGTCATCATGGTAAATGACCTGTCCTGTCCACCCAACAGCTGAAGGGATAAAGAAACCACCATACAGATACACTGTGGAATATGCTTCAGCCATAAACCTTTGGGAAATCCTGTCATCCACAGCCACGTGGAGAAACCTAGAGGACATTAGGTCCAAAGAAATGAGCCTGGTAGAGAAAGTCCCACACCTTTTAATCTCAGGCATGGAGATTCCAAAAATTTTATCTCCTGTCCATGCACAGATGAAGGGATCGAGAAACTGTAATGTATATGCACAAAGGAATATTCTTTGGCCATCAAAATAACTAAACCATGTCATTTGGGGCAACACAAGTGAACCGCCAAGGCTGCAGCTGCCTCGTGCTATGCCATGGATGGAAGCCACTGTGGCCTCCATCTGGGCCGAGCTCTGACCACAATGATGCCTCTGCCCCCACCCGGGCCTCCCTCTGACCGACAATGCTGCTGCATCTTTTCAGTAGTCATTGATGAGGAAGTATCCACATCCTCCTTCCCACTACCAGATTTTGCTTGGAGAAAAGCAGTTTCCCGAAATAATTCTGTGACGAGCTTCTTCCACATTAGGACAAAAATGCTGGTAACTTTTAAAAATTCCTATAGAAGCCTCCTGCTTCCCTCTCCAGCCATATCCCAGGCAAGCCCCCTGCATACCACCCTGCCCCAGAACCCATTCCCCATACCCATCCACCACTCCTGACCTCCAGGCCTTGGCTCAGGCTGGCTTTCTGCTCAAAGGCTCTCCTTTGGAGTCGCCTGGCTAAGCACAGCTTTGCCTCACCCCTCCAAAATCTAGTAGTTATCTTGAATTTCTCCCTTTCCCTCACTATCATTCATTCATTCAACAAAAATCTTGTCATGTGCCCACCGTGTTCCAGCCTTTGTCCTAAATCCTGGGAGACAGTGTGATTAAGACACAAGTGCTACTCTTGTACAACTTGCATTTGAGCTTGGGCAACAGGGAAAGGAGGACAATAAACAAAACCAGATAAATGCTATGAAAGAAAAAAGATAGAACCAGTAGATTGTGATAGTGAATTAGGGGTGAGGGTAGCAGAGTACTATTTTAAATCAGCTGAGCAGGGAGAACTCACTAAGGAGGAGACATTTAACAAGAAGAAACCACCCTGGCAAAAACGGGGACTAAGCCAAGGGCACATATGGTGACAGTTTTGCTGTTTGTAGTAGGAGGGGGCCAACCAGGTGATATGTGAGGGGAAGGTAGCATTCCTCTCAGAGGGAACCACAAGTGCAGAGGCCCTGAGGTAGGAAGCAGCCTGATATTTGAGGTATGGCAGTGCCTTCCTTGGACCATGCCTGTGTGTGATGCAACAGTCATAAACACTTCTTCACCCAGGTTTTACAGCAGAAGGGAAGTGGTACTCAGACAAATTCCAAATGAGGCAGAGGAATGTCCGTATCTCTCCTCTTCTTTGTTTGTTCCCTTCGTCAGTTTGTTTACCCCCCGCCCCGCACACCCATCTCCCTCTAGCTCCCTAACCTTTCTCTTGCCAGCCCCTATGAAGGCCCTTAATTAAATAAAATGGGTTTTGGAGGAGACCATCCTAGGATCCCAGACTGACCTCATCTCTGCCTATCACTAGTTGTATGGCTTTAGGGAAATTACTTAATCTCTTAGTGTTTTCTTATCAGTAAATTGGGAATAAGAATGCCTGCCTGCTGGATTACAAGAGTTCATACATTTGAAGGCTCTCAGTAAATGGTGGCATAGGAGCATTCTTCTTTTTATACTCCCTAAATGATAAATTTAGTTTATTGTGAATTTCAACATGTATATTCAAAATGTATTTTGTGTCTATCAATCCATTATTTCCATCTGACTGCTGTCACCCCCCTGGTCAATGTCTGGCTCTCTCTTGCTAGGCCTCCTCCCCAACCTTTTTAGCACCAGGGATTTCGTGGAAGACAATTTTTCTACCCAGGGGTGGGGAGAAATGGCTTCAGGATGAAGCTGTTCCACCTCAGATCATCAGGCATGAGTTAAATTCTCATAAGGAGCGGGCGCCCTAGATCCTGCGCATGCGCAGTTCACAATAGGGTTCATGGTCTTATGAGAATCTAATGCCACCGCTGATCTGACAGGAAGTGGAGCTCAGGCAGTAATGCATGCTCACTGGCCACTCACCACCTGCTGTATGGCCTGGTTCCTAACAGGCCACAAATCCATATGGGTCCCGGGATTGGGAACCCTTGCTCCAGATGACAGCTGGAGCAGTCTTAAATGAAAGGTGGATTATAAGTTCCCTGCTTAGACCTTCAGCTGTTTCCCATTTCCAGAATCTTCACTGCAGCCTGCCTGGCTGTACTTGATCTGGCTCCCACCCTCCTGCCCTCCCTCCTTAGCCCTGTCGTCTCATGCTACTCTCCCCCTTGCCCAGTACACTGCCCAGATGCATTCTTCTTGGGCCAGAAGTACTATGCATGCATGTCAAATCTGAAACAGACGTTTCTTAGAGTATCAGGGGTCAGGGATGTGGCTGATAATATAAGGGCCTCTCCAATCAGACTTTCTAATCGAACCGAAGAGATACTAATTACAGTGTTGATGCTATAAAAAGAAGGTTCTGACAAAATAGAACTTCTGAAGCATCATAAATCAGATAACCAGTATTTGTGATCCCCTTTTAAATATTCATGTGAAGAAGAATAGGGGATGTAACTGAAGAGATGAATTAAAAGTTCTGCTATGTATTGAGAACCTAAGTATGGGATGCTGTGTTTGGATCTGGAGACACGTTGCCTCCTGGTACTTAAACAATCTGGCATCACACATCACATGACCTATATTAAAAGAGAGACACTGTAGTACTGAATAGTTTGATGCTCAATGAGCAGGAGAGCTAGCTGGTGCTTGGGGAGGCAGAGGGGGCACCCTCCCTGATGGCCAGGGAGGTCAGGGCTGACAGTTCATGAACTGTGCTTGCCTGGATGGAAGGCAAATAGTTGAGGAAGAAAGAGGAAGTGGATGGAATTCTAGGCCTGAGATGAGGACTGAGAATATCTTTGGGTAATAAGACCAGTTAAGCTGGAGTAGAAGGGTCATTTATAGAACAAAAGATTGTGGATCCTGTTGTAATGGAATTTCCTAGACCACTGTGACCCACTAGTGGATGGTGAAATTAATATAGAAGATCTTGTCCCCTATTAAAAATGTTTTTAAAATAGAATAGGAAATACAAGAGAATGTCTCCGGGAGGGTAAGTGTTGACTTGTGAAAGGTTGTTGCATATATGTATTCTGGGTTACAGTCTCAAATGTATTCCTTATTGTAGGGCATGCTCAAAGAGTTCTGAGAACAGTGGACTGGACACAGAGCTGTCTAAATACCTGTGTCTGCCATTAGCATCTGGCACAGGAGCCTGTGTACTGGCATTTCAATCTGTTGAACAAATTGAGGTCCTTGGGTTCCAGCCCAAGGAATTTGGATTTTATCCTGTAGGCAGTGAAAGTTTTTGAAGATTTGTGGGCAGGAGGATGATCGGTCTTTAAGAAAATTCATTTAGCAGTTGTACATAGGATGGCTTGGGGAGGGAAGAGATAGGAGGCAGGGAGTCTAGTTAGGAGACATTGGCTGGGCCTTGGGTGAGTGACAACGACCTGTGTAGGTTAGTCACGGGGATGGGAAGGTAAGAGGGCCCAGTAATGGCTGTAACAGTGGTTTTTGTTGTTTTTGAGACAGTGTCTTGCTCTGTCACCCAAGCTAGGGTGTGGTGGTGCAATCTCAGCTCACTGCATCTTCCATCTCCCAGGTTTGAGCAATTCTCATGCCTCAGCCTCCTGAGTAGCTGGGATTATAGTCATGTGCCACCATGCTGGCTAATTTTTGTATTTTTAGTAGAGATGAGGTTTCACCATGTTGGCCAGGCTGGTCTCAAACTCCTGAGCTCAAGTAATCTGCCTGCCTCAGCCTTCCAAAGTGCTGGGATTACAAGTGTGCGCCTGGCTGATTTTTTTTTTTTTTTTTAACGTGAAAAGGATTTTTGTTTCCTGTCTCTATTTTAGAATCATGCCAGTCATAATATTTTAGGTCATCTAATCAGATCAACAAAGGTACGTTGACTCTGTGTTTGAAGCATTTGTCATGACTGTTGCATTATCGGTTATTCAGGAGTTTCTGTATGGGGCACAAATTAGCTCTTCTTAGCAGCAGACTAATCTGAAGAAATGACTCCCACGAATAAGAATCTGTCTGAATGCTGTAGGGCTTTTATTAGGTCTCATCTCACTAAGTGCTGATCAGTTTTGATTCAGTTGGAGCAGAGCACATAGTTCTTTGGAGGTGATTGTTTTAGAGAGTAGGGTGAGAGAATAGAAATCAATGAGCCAGCAGCCTTCTCACAGCAATGAAAACTGCCTTTTCAGATTAGTTTTGATCATCTCAGCTCCATTACCCTTTATTCTTTCTTTTGTTTGTGTATCCTAGGAAGCGCCGCAGCCCCAGGGCAGCACATCACAGCCACCATGGAACATAGCCATTCCTCTACCATCATGCTGGGACCAGTCTTTCCTGACCAATATCACCTTCTTGAAGGTTCTTCTCTGGTTGGTCCTGCTGGGATTGTTTGTGGAACTGGAATTTGGCCTGGCATATTTTGTCCTGTCCTTGTTCTATTGGATGTACGTCGGGACACGAGGCCCTGAAGAGAAGAAGGAGGGAGAGAAGAGCGCCTACTCTGTGTTCAATCCGGGCTGCGAAGCCATCCAGGGCACCCTGACTGCAGAGCAGTTGGAGCGCGAGTTACAGTTGAGACCCCTGGCAGGGAGATAGGACCCAGCTGTGCCATCATGCAGCTAACTTCTGATGTCTTCCTCACCACTGGCTATGGATTTGATTTCAGGTGTATAGGACTAAGGGCAGCTTGCAGGTTAGCTCTGTGACTGCATGGTTCTTCTACATTCTTTCCCTGATCTTTTGCTGCCATTTGATCTTTGAATTTCTCTTTAGTGTTGGGGAAACTCTCTAAAGTACATTCACTGTGGGTCCGATGCAATTTATAAAAATTATGTACTCAAGAAGGGAGACCTGTTTGTCTCATTTCTCATCTGTTTGGGGGATGATTTTAGAGCACTAGAAAGGCACTGGGAAGATTCTCAGCTTAAAACATCCAGCCATTTGAAGTAATGATTAGGTACATCAGGGCTGCATTGTAAATGTTCTCTTTAAGTCTTTTAACATTTATAGCAATTTTTTTTTTCCCAGAAAGTTTAGGTTGCAAGTTTTGGGTTTCTTGTTTGTTTTTGTTTTGCTTCCTGCTTTAATTCTTTCATTTTCAGTCATTACTGGTATTGAAAAATAAAATATCTTTAAAACATCTCTTCAGAAATAGGTCCCTCTTCATTGCCCATCACCATCTTCCACTCTCTATTATTTTGTCACCACTCAGTAAAGGAAGGTAGGAAGAGACAAAGGACTAAGTGCAGGTGTGGGGAGGGATTTCACAAGTGGTTATTAATAGCCAGTTCAGCAAGAAGTATTGAGTGTGTACAAAGGGGAGGGCTGGAAGTGTAACTCCAGACCTGTTGGCTGCTTGAGTTGTTTCTTATATTCTAAGGCAGCAGTCCCCAACCTTTTTGGCACCAGGGACCAGTTTTGTGGAAGACAGTTTTTCCATGGACGGGGTGGTGGTGGAGGTGGTTTCGGGATGAAACTTCCACCTCAGATCATCACGCATTAGAGTCTCATAAGGAGCACGCAGCCTAGATCCCTCGCATGTGCAGTTCACTATAGGGTTCTAAGGGCTTTAGAGTAAGCAGCCTTTTCATCTGTGGGCCTCTGGTGAGAAATTCTGTAAACAGTGATAATCAGGCTGGATTTTAATGTTCCTTCCTCTTCCAGTACAATGTTAGAGTTTGGGTTCGTTAAAATCAGGCAGACTCCCATTGGGTTGGGGCTTCTCTCATTAATTCCATTTTGTGGCTAACTTCATGGTGTTTCAGCCCTTGTTGAAAATTCTTCTGATATGTGTTGCTCTTCCTCACAGCCCTTTGCCCATTGGGAGTTTGGCTATTCCTCAGAGCCATCCGGTCAAGCAGGTGGTCCGTTCTAGCTCACAGAAAAGTCTTTTCTTCCATGATTTCTGTCTGAACTGGACATGTAAGAGAGTATGGGAAACAGATGAATCCCTATTAAACATGAAGTTTTGATTGTATTTAAGATACAATTTCGTTGACTGATTTATTTTCTTAAGGCTTTCTTAATTTTCTTGATACTTTCCTTGGACTTTTCCATTTCATAAAAGTCCCACACAAGGGAGTAATTCCCTAATCTAAGTTTTACTGCAGTGCTCAGGGCAGTAAGCATTGCTGTAGGAAAGAACTCATTTGTATTTTAAAAACGTATAATTCAAACTTTCCCCTAAAACAAAATGCCTGTAACTCTGAATTAGAGAGGTTTGATCCAATTAGTAATCCCAGTGGGGTAAAGACTTAAGCACACAGGAGACTTGACCTGTGGTTGGGTGGACCTCAGTAGTGATTTTTGAAATGCAGCTGTTTTTGAGGTGGAGTCTAGATTGCCTCAAGCCCATCTTGCATGGGCTTTTCTGTGAACAATTTTGTCAGTTCTCCTCACCTCTTCCCAAAGGTGCATGTAATGATGGCATTAGGAAAAATAGGGTATGAATCAATTAAAGGCCTGACAGGGAGAAGAAGAAAGAACAATAAGTATTTGGTGCTTTCATCAGACCATTAGGCTTTAGGTGCAGCCTTGATTTCCCGAATTTAGGCCTATTGATCTCAGAATTTCCACTCATAGCCTGACCATTAACCCAGCATGCAGCCTCCATTAAAGGATTCTTCTGTCATCAGGGAACTTGAAATCCCAGAGGTAGATGCAATCCCTGTGATAACTTTATACACGAGTGAAGTCATTTCTGTTCAAGTCTTAACAAGTAACTTGGTTTTTGCTTTTATTCACATTATCCCATCTTGCCTACTGATAGAGACTGTTAAGTGAAACTCTACATCTAAAGTTGGAAGGGACCCCAAAATGCCATCAAGTGTGTTCCCCACCCCCAACCTTGGGCAGGGCCATCATTTATTCCCAAGTAAAGATAATTAGTTTCTAGTGAACCCCTAAAGAAGATTCCAGGTACTTCCTAGGAGGTTCTTTATGTTTACTGAAAGAACTTTTGCCACTCCCATCCTCACCATCTGGGGTTATTTTGTCTCCTAATCTTAGTGGATGTGGAGTCCCTGGAGGCCTATGTGAGCATCCTTCAGACTGGTAAACCCTTAGTTCTCTTTTCTCTCTGCTCTTTAGGCCAAGTCATTGAGCTGTACCTCTGGGACTCAGTCACTTTCATGCTAGCCCTGACCTAAGTTTTTCAGGTTTGAGTGAGGGTGAATGTCCCTGTGGATGGGTGTAATGACCTTTCTCAAAAGCTTTGGAGCTTTTCCAGTGATGACAGGCATGTGTATTTTGTGCTATTAGAGTTATGCTTTGAGTATAGGCAGTCTTCCACATTTGTCTTTTGACCTGTGTGTCATTTAAAAAGCTCTGTGCTGCAAAATCTTAGAAAATTATACAATTGAAAGAACCAGTGACCCTCAGTTGGGCAGAAGACATCAAAATTCGAGCTATGTGTTTTTAGTTCCTGCTACTCATACCAGCAAATAGTTGTAGATGCCCTGGATTTGGCGCTGCTGGGGACACACACACAGGAGCTCCTGCATAGGATGAGCGTCCCTAAGAGCCCAGGGATGCAGGGGTGGGGTTGGGATGTCATGGAGCATATTGCCACCAGGCGGTGGCGTAGAGCTGCCACTATACCTCACGGGTCCCTTCACCTCACACTTGAAAATTTACGTAATGTAGAAAACCCTCTGGGATGTTTATCTCAACCACTTGTGCTGCTTTTTCAGATTTTTTTTTTTTCCAGTTTAAAATTTACAGAGGAAAGGGCTCATCAGAGGTCCTGGGAAAGGCGTAGAAAGCTACCAGAAGTGATTTATATATGTATTTTAAAATAAAACAGCAGCTCCTCTCTAGACTTAGCAGGCAGTGTTACAGTTGCTTGCACATAGCTGAGCTTTGCGGGAAGGAGAAGGGGAATGACTAAGAATTTACATAGTTGGCAGAGAAAACCAACTCCCGAAGCCAAAGAAAGTAACTTTTGAACCATATGCTTTGGTTTCTATCACACATACTTTTATTTCACAACTTTGGAGCACTAGGATACATAAAGACTTGCATCCCATTTTCAAAAAGCTGAGAGAGAAGACAAGATGAGTGCACACAAAACTGTATTATGAAGTATAGGACACAATGTGAATGCTTATAAAGGTGTAAGGTGTGTGTGTGTGTGTGTGTGCATGTGTTTTTTCAAGGGAGAAATCACTTGCAATCCTAAATACTATATAGGATTTTCACTTCTACATGAAAAATACTCTTTCCTGAACAAGTCATGGATGAACGTTTTGAAAAGTATGGTCTATAGACCACCCACCTACATAGGAATCTCCTGTAGTAATGGTAAAATGCAGATTCCAGGGCCCCCACTGACTCAGAATGTCTGGGGGTAGAATCCTGAGAATCTGCATTTTAACAGCCTCCCTGATGTGATCTCTGGCATAATAAAGATTAAGAGCCGCTGACGTAAACCATAAATGTTAAAATAGGAAGAAAATTTAGTGATTATTAGATCCAAGCAAAGAAAACGGTTGTGCATTTTTAAAGGGAGCAATGAGGTTTGCTATTTTTCAAACTGTTCATTTGGAACACCAAAGCGAGAGAAGAAGAAACATAGCTTTAAAACAATGAGGAACTAACTCCAAAGACTACGCAGAAATTAAACGTCCTTTATTTTTGAGGTTTTCTTTAAATGATTACAACAAGAAGTACATGCTCGTTTTAGACCATTTTGGAAATACAGGAAGGAATAAAATATTGTTGTACTTCTGTGAATATATTTTAGAAGTCAAGAGGTACATAGGGTGTATAGGGAGAACATCTCCCTCTACCCTGCCGTGTTTGTTCTTTCTCAAGCCTGCAAATGACACCATCCTAAACACGCTATTCTTTTGCTTGCTTGCTTTTTTCTTTTTTAGGAGTTTGAATTTTATTTATATGCATTTGAAGTTTTTATGTAAGGGAGTGACATGATCCAATTTTCTTTTTTTTTTCCTCTCTTTTTTTTTTTTTTTTTTTTTTTTTGAGAGACAGAGTCTCACTCTGTCCCCAGGGTGGAGTGCAGTAACACGATCTGCCTCCCAGGTTCAAGCAATTCTCCTGCCTCAACTTCCCAAGTAGCTGGGACTACAGGCATGCGCCACCACACCCAGCTAATTTTTCTACTTTTAGTAGAGAAGGGGTTTCACTGTATGCTGGCCTGCCTGGTCTCAAACTCCTGACTTCAGGTAATCTGTCTGCCCTGGCTTTTCAAAGTGCTGGGTTTACAGGCGTAAGCCACTGCAGCCGGCCCTCAATTTCCATTTCTAAAAGATCATCCATGCTATGGTGGGGAGTAGATTCTCTATGTCATTCATTCATCCATCCATCTATCCATTTACAGAGCATCTAAACTTTGCCAGTCCTGGTGCTGGACTTGGCTCATACAGATATAAGGGAGACAAGGTTCCTTTTCTCAAGGACCTCACAGTCAAATGGGGGAGGTAGCCAGTAACCAGACAGTTACAGTGCAGTGTGGTAAGCCACACTGAGAGTATGTCATCTGAACGAGGACCCCAGCCTCAAAAAGGGTCTTAAATCACGGGTCAGGAAGGGCTTCCTGGAGGCAGTGGCGCTGTGCTGAGTTTAAGGGAGGACTAGGTACTCCCCCAAAAAAGAAGGTGGGGGCAAAAAGCATTTTGGTCAGAGAAAACCACCTGGGAGAAAGGTGATAATCATGAAGGAGAATAACAAGCTTGGATGCATTCTGAGGACTTGGATGTTAAGGAACGAATAAAAGGAATTGATGAGAGGCAATTCCAGAAAAGAATATTGGGTGCCTCTTGCTTTTTGAGCAAACAATATTTCTTAGTAATTACATCAGCACAAATAGAGCTGCTTCCTCCTTTTTCACAGCTACAGAGTATACCATTGTATGGATAGATTGTAACTCAACAAGTCTCCATTAATGTATATTTAGGTCATTTCTAATCTTTTGTTGTTGCAAACAATGTACAACGAATATCCTTGTACATATGTCATTTCAACATATGGGAATACTTCTCTGGGATAATTTGTTAGAATTAGATTTGCTGGCAAAAGGATATTTGACTGAAAATGTTTGATAGATGTTGCCCTGCATAGAAGTGATTCTTATTTACATTCCTACCAGCAATGTATGAAAATGCCAATTTCCTCATATCCTCACCAACACAGGGTGTTTTCCAACTGTCTTCTGTACTTTGCCAATATCTGAGAGGTGAAATGGCACCTCATAGTTTTAATTTAAATATCTTATTATGGGTGAACATCTTTCTATAAATTTATGAGTCATTTGTATTTACCTGTGAACTGTTTTAGCCTTTGCATGATTTCTGTTGAGTTATTGGGAATTTTAAAATTTCATTTAGGAACTCTTCGTAAATGAAGAAAATTGGCTCTTTGAATTATGCATTTCAAATATTTTTGCTCAATTTGTTCAAACTTGTTGCTGTTTTTGTTTCTGTGTAGAAATTTTTTGTTGTCAAATTTATGTATTTTATTTTATGACCTGGGTTTTTGTCATATGGCAAAAAAATTTCCATGTTTACCCACTGCTTTCGTTTTCTATATTTAAGTTCTTTATCTACCTAGTATTTATTTTGGAGTGGGGTTACAGATACGGATCCAACTTTATTTATTCAGGCATCTATTTGTTCAGGTATCTAACTAGTTCCCTCAGGTTCATTTATTAAATAACCCAACTCTTTCAGGCTAATTTTAAACCCATCTGTATCATATACCACATTTCTTGTGTATTTGTATCTATTTTGGGCTTTCTGATCTGTTATTTTGATCTGACAGCTTTTCCATATTCTAGTACTTCACTTTTTATTATTGAAGCTCTTTGGTGTGTTTTAATATCTGAATGGGGTAGACACCTCTTTATTACTCTTATTTTTGCTTTCTTCTTTAAAACTTATACTTAACATGTTTATTTTCTCCCTGTGTTCTTTAGAATTAACTTGACCAGGTCCCCAAAATTTCTCTTGATATTTTTATTGGTCTC